AATTAGTTGCACTTTATTCATTATACAATATAAAATTTTCTATAGAAATTGCTGACCAACCGAATTGCGGCCACGGTCAATATATTTTTGATAATCCACTAATACTCTATGATGACGAAAAATTATAAACCAATGGACAGCGAGGGCAAGGGAATTTGTCTCAAGGGAATTTTTTGCAAATTTAACTTTCCTGCGTTAGTTTAATTAAACTAATTATGAATAACTTAAAAGAACTAGGAATACTCCTGGTACCTACATACATACCTGCTTTTTTGTAATTAATCCTAATCTAATACAATACTGTTGAAGAATAATTTGCATACCATAAGTTGTCCGAGATAATGATAATTGGGCCGGACCAAAACCAATGGAAGATTCGTAAATCCATAAACAATTATTCCAGATACTATTTACATTTCGTATACGTACGTATACGTGCGTATTAATACGCAGTTGGTAAACTTGTTTCGTTTGAGCTAGAATGAATTTGAACAAACTGTTTATTGTGACTCATTGTCATTAATTAAACAAAGACAGTTTTTCTAATTAATTTATAATTAAGACAATTCGTTCTATAACTTGAGCACATTAATTTGACCATTTTATGTTTTTCAACTCCGCGTACACGTTTCAATTGTTTACCTCCTGTGCTGTTTATAACGGCGGATTCTTTTTGTCGATTCTTTATTTTTTTTATCATTTTACTAATGAAGAAGTTTTTAAGTTTTCGGTTTAGAATAATTTAGCATTCTTAATTAAATGTTGCTTCCTCAAATAAGGAACTTTACATAATAATCTAAATTTACTAAGCCTAATTGTTAATTATAGGAACATGTAACATTCGTACCTATAAAAAATAATAGAAACAAAAAATAAAAACTTGGATAAATATTTACGTCCTTAATCAATTATTTGATAATTACTTAGGTAAGTATTGCTCTTTCCATATGTATCACAAAAATTATGAAAATTTTGTTTCGTACGTATGTAAGTATACGTAAATAATAATATGTACGTAAGCTCAGGATTAATTTTCATTTTAGTAAGCTTAATTTAATAACTATCCATTTCATAAAATTTTGTTTATATAAAACAGTTTTCAAATATGATTTGCTATAATAAACATGCAGTAGGTACCTACTAGCGGTATAAAAATTAATTATCATGATAGATTTCAGAAATTTAATTTAGTTTTAATGAATGTAATAATTTAATTCGAAGTTCTTAAGCTAAATTGGCTTCTATTGATTCGTCGTTTGTGGTAGCCATTAAAAAATTTGGATGTATGTGATAACGACCTTGGTGTAATTCTCAGGAAATGACAACTGTTGATTTATTAATTTCAGTTTATTGTCAACAATGAGAAAGTAAGCATTATCTATGCTTTACCCGAGGTTTGAAAATTGAAAAAAATACAATTTATTATTTTTATCGCAATACAAACCTACTCCTGCGTCTTTAATAGTGCCTACTTACTATACAAATGGCATTGATAGTGAGTGTCGAGAATTATTTATAGAAGTAGCTGTATTTAATAATAGTAAAATGAATTATTTTCAGAAACCGTTAATTAATTCTCCTCGAGGAAAATCGTATTCAAATTCTATTTCAACAAATTAATGTCGTTTAAGAAATATTTTACTAAAAGAGTCCGTCTTTTTTAATTAGGAAAAATGAATAGTTAAGAATTTTATCTACAAATTCTTTATCTACATATGTATAGGTATAGTTATCATATACATATTGTACAAATGAACCTAAATCATTTGTTTTATTCCAATTTATGTAAAACGATTAGAACTGTAACCTTTTATCTATTGAAAATTATATTGTAACTATATTAACAAAAACAATAATTACCATAAATATAATATTTATTATTCCCAAACCAAAATTAAAATTCGTAGATATCTATTTATTTTTACCAATAATTAAGGTTAATTAAATATTTTTGCAAAAATTAAATATAGTAGGTATAAATGTTTTTGGTATACCTAATTTGCCTTAATAACTTTTTGAAAATTAATTTATTAACAAAATTATCCACACCGTTTAACGTCAACACAAACGATTTAACATACTTAGAAACAAATTACAGGTAATAAGTTATTTGATTCTATTTTTTTAATAATAAGTAAAGTTGACCAAAAGTGAATTGAGTATGAAAATTATAGTGCATTTTAGTTTTAATTTTCTTTGGATTTAATACTATACTAAATACATATATGTATACATACATATGTAGGTATATGATTTGATTTTTCTATTGCAAATTTAGTATAGCTCTGACTCATTTGTTTTGTGTTTTGTTATTGTACAAATTTCTTCTCTACTCATAAATAGATTTATATTACATTCATTATGTGACACTATATTAATTAATTAAAAATCATTGTTGAAAAAGTTGACCAATTATATAAATTATCGTTGAAATTATATAATTATTGAAACATTTTAAAAAGTATACTTGTCTTTTGAAGGTAATCATTTATAAATGATGTAAATTATTTATTTTATTAATATAAATCATTATAATTTTGTCTCTATGTAAGCAAACCTTGATGACACAGAATATCGTCTCTTAAGCGAAAATTGTAATGAAATTTCAATGAAAGATCCTTGAAGGATCTTAACAAATTCGTATATGGAGAGAAAAAAATAATTACTTAAATGTTGACATTTTAATTATCTACGTATTTAAATTTAAAGAACTCTCAAGAAGATTAAAAAATGCAGAGTTTTGTAAATAGAGTAGGCATTGTATTCAATGTTTAGGCACGAATTTAGAAGCTTGAGATAACAAATATTAATTACAGTAAATGCGAATGTTGTTAATTTATGCTACTGAATTTATTTACTCATTTTATACTAATAAATTTGAATTCGTTTTTCCATGAATTAATTATACTTCAAATTATAATTTGCACGAGCAAGTTAAATTCAAATTATTTTTACAAATATTGAATTAAAGAAAATCAGAAACTTAAATCATACTAATATTCTAGTGCTAGAGAATCTGTTAATAATATAATACAATAGAAAACGTCATATATGAAAATATTATTATCTACTGAATTCCTAATATATATCCAATGAAAAATAAATTGACTAAAAGAGCATTTTTTCATAATGCGTAAAATTTTTGGTGCAGTCTAATTAATATACTATTAATTTACTACTTTCAGTAGCATAGGTAATTTATCCCATGAAATGATTAAACAATCCTTCTATCATTATACTCTAAATAATTGTTATTGAACGTCGTTCATCAGTTAAGAAGATTGCCCAGATTATTGAGGAATAAGAGTTCAATTCCATTTTTTCGCGATATCGCCAAATATGAAAAATTGGAAAGATTTCGATCATGCACGGTAATTATTGGTACACACGAAATTTGTTTATAATAGGTTAATTTTTGATACCTTCGATTTAAAAATCGCGCTGACAAAACAGCGTCGTCCATTCGACCTTGCAACCTATTATTTAGTTAGAATCAATTTCATTCGTACAAATAGTTGAATCACGCAGTACAAATAGCACTTTTACCGTTTAAATTTAGGCCAAAAATGGATGAGCAGCGTTGAAAGTTCGAGAATATCATGCGTTCTTGAGACCCAAATGTCCCCCTCTGATATTTCGACGTATGTAACAGTCATAGGAAAATTACCAATTGAGTTAATTTAAAACCTAAAAAACAACTTAATCAAACTGTATAAGTATATCTAGTTAAATGGAGAAATAATAAAATCAGTAAAGAGGATAGATAGAATGCGTTAAAAGGGGTATTGGCCTTTGATATTACTCTAAATAGTCTAAACTCAGAATATGTGTAGAGATAATAATAATTAAAATAAAAAAAATAATAATTTGAGTTATTTTTTTAGTCCTTTAAATTTTAACAAAATGCTTTTATCGAAAATAATAAGTAATAAAGTACAAGTATAATTCCCTAAAGGAAATGTATTTTTGAGATTCTGATGACTTTGAAAAGACAATACGTATGCTTAATATTAGAGACAACAATATATTTATGTTAATTTCATATAACTTCCTTATATGACTGCATAAATAAGGTGAAAATTGCCGTTTGTAAACCTTAATATAGACAAATAATGCAATTTGTTTTAAGTACCATACAAAATTTATACACAATTGTATAAAACTATTCGTGTAGGATAAATAAAGCAGAAGATATCTTATAATTAAAAGTAATTAGTTATTTTGCATTTTTCTCACTATTCATAGTTTAAGTAAAAATCCAATTATGGATTCACTGAGGCAAAAATGTGTTTTTATTTGCGGTATATTCATTCATCATTCATAATACATATAAATATATAATTTCTGAATAAAAATTATATTAAACACAAACTCGTTTAACGATACCTACCTAGATATAATTTTGTCTCAAGGATTTTTTGAATTTATATACAGGTATTTTGATCTTTGCAGTGAATATATTCTAAATTTAATGCCATTGCAACTTAAATCTGTAAATATTGCATCAAAATAAAAATACCATTAAATTAACACGTTTATACGTATAGAGGTTGTTAATTTATTTACATTTCTGTTTATTCAGAGATAATTTAATATGGATTTAAAATAAAGAAAAAATAAGCAGATTTTAACATAACTTACGGACAATGCGCTAAGTTACGACACAAAAAAAATGTATACATATTTCAAAACTAAAAAAACATTTTTCAATAATTATTATAATCAGTTTAAAAAATGTAGACCCCATTTTGTTTTGTATCCAAAATCAAAAATGAATGCTATTTTTAATATTATTCCAACCAGTCATAAAATTTCAATCCAAGTTTTGCACAAACGAACTTTTATTACCACCGCATTCGTTAATAACAAAAATATGTGTATTCTTAATTTTTAGTTTAGTCCGCTATCCATTAAATAGTTTTAATTCAGTACATACTGTATGACATCTACAGTTTAGCAATGTCGTTTTTTCGCACCAGTAAATGTACCATTTTTTTTCAGAGCTTCAATTAGAACCCCTGTCCGCTGCCCCCAATAGAAGCCGCCCCCCGAAACTCGCCGAAAAGACCGATTTCCACCGCCGCAACACAACAAACCTTTTGTTTACATCGTAGAATGGTAGAAGGTGAACCACAATCAAATCAAAAACAAGACTCTGATGTAAAAGTCGAGCGCTTTGCAAACGGCACCGGATCAAAAGATCTCGAACTTGGAAACTTCGGTACCGTTAAACCAGTAAAAGTTGTACCGGACGATAAATGCAGCGATAAAGCTGATTTCGAACAAGCTATAGAATTAACTAAGTAAGTTCACTCTTCCACTTTTTTCACAATATAAACCCTTCCTTTCTGTCCCTAGTCATCACCTGTATTTCCTTCCTCTTAGCTGCTCTTTTAGTATGCATGTCCATTTATGCTTAAATATTTTGTTTTTTTACAGATATGGCAAATTTCATTTCCTTTTACTAGCAGTATGCGGTTTTGTAAGCACCTCCGAGGAGATGGACGTCATCTCGATGTCGTTCATTCTCCCATCGGCTCAATGCGACTTAAATCTGAATACGCAAACGAAAGGCTGGCTCAACTCCATCATCTTCATCGGTATGATGGCAGGAGCCTACGTTTGGGGTTCAGTGGCCGATTCGTTGGGCCGTAAGAAGGTGCTTATCGTGAGTTCCTTCATGAACGCGATATGTATAGTAGCTTCTAGCTTCTGTCAAACATATCAGCTGTTCATGCTCTTCAGATTTCTAAACGGGGCGGCGTAAGTACTCTAAGTTTAAATGCTTTTTAGGATGTTCAAATGTGTCGGTTTCAGGTTAGGGGGCAGCGGACCAGTAATCTGGTCATACTTTGCGGAATTCCAACCTAAGTCTAAAAGAGGTTCTATGCTTTCGTTTATGGCAGCTTTCTGGACTTTGGGTAACTTATTCGTTGCTGGTTTGGCATGGTTGATCATCCCAGCTGAAATCGGCTTCGAAACCAAATACTTCGTGTACAACTCCTGGAGAATATTTTTACTGATATGTGCAATACCTTCTTTCATCGTGGCTGCTTTACTTTGTTTCTTACCAGAGAGTCCTAAATTTTTACTTTCGCAAGGAAAAAGTGAAGAAGCCCTTGCTATCTTCAAGTACATCTACCACGTAAATACCGGCAATGACGCCGAAGATTTTCCAGTCAAGCATCTCATTTTCGAACAAGAAGAACTTACAATCGAAGAAAAAGAAAAAATTGCCAAGCGTGGAAAGTACACGAACATGCTTGTTGATATCTTAGATAATAGCAAGCAGTTATTCGTTTCACCAATTCTTAAATTTACTCTCATCTCAGTTACGATCAACTTTACCTTCCATATTGGGTAAGCATTTCGATCAAATTGGTAAGACACATCACTTACGAAAGTTTTGCAAAGGCACCGCTAAATTTATCCTACATTGATTTACGCAAGTTAAATCTCTAAATTAATATCAATTACATGCCGAGTAAGTACTTAACATTGGCGTCATTGATCCCGAGTCTCGTACAATTTGAACCATTATAGTACTTACTTTTAATTTTTTTGCATTCCTTTCTTCATTACAAGCTATTTTTGGTTTAATTTATTTTCCTCGATATCGATATTAACGAATATTTTTTTAGGTATTACGGTCTTATGATGTGGTTTCCAGAATTGTTCAACAGATTCGATGAATTTTCCAAAATGCACAATGGCGCTGAGGCTGGAGTGTGTGAAGTAACTGACTACGTGGTTAATATGGGAAGCCATAGCGATGGATTCAAATGTAACGATAAAATTTCATCGTCGGTATTTATGGAGTCGTTAATAACAGTATCTGCTGCATTACCGAGTAACATTATAGCTGTTCTGGGCATGGACAGATTGGGCAGAAAATTCTTCTTAGGTAAAAACGAATACGTTATGATTTAGTATGAAAATTAATCATTTTTTTTTACAGTTTTCAGTACAGTCTCGTCAGGTTTATGTTCAGCATGCATGTATTTCGTCTACAACAAAACTCACAACTTGATCGTTTCTGCAGTATTCAGTAGTGTAATTTCATGCGGTAACGCAGCGTTGGATTCGCTCATCACTGAAATATTCCCAACTCATCTCAGGTAAATCAAGTTTAATTATTTCGTTTCCGAGTGTTTATGAATGACATGATTTTAGGGCCACGGGTATCGCCGTTTCTATGGTAGCTGCTCGGTTAGGTGGTATTATCGGTAACATAGTAATAGCTCAACTTCTTGATGTGTACTGCCCAGCTCCAACATTCATCGTTACTGGTTTGTTGATTGGTGGGGGTCTCCTTTGTCTCTTCCTTCCAAATACCACACAAAAACCACTTCAATAGAACCACAGACTTGTTGTATCCTTACCTCAAATCAGATTGTTTTCGAACTTTTTATTTAACTGATATTTTATTGCCATTTTACAATGTTACCCGTTAGATGCTATTTATTTTTTACGAATCATTTGGTTTATTTACCGATAGATAGGGTAATATAAATAGCTTCTAACAAGAAATTGTAGATAAAATGTAATTTCATAAAATTAGTATTAGTAACGTAAGCAAAATGTAGTCTAGTTCTTAGAGTTTATACATTTTCAACATGTATTATATATATTACTAGATATAAACGTAAATCTTATTCATGCAAAAATGTTTTATTTCACCCCTTTAATAATTAAATGATTAAGTAAATTTTAATTTTTATATTTACAATCTTAACTCACAAACTCAAAAATAAAAAGAAATATTACAAATTTACAATATATTAATAATCTACATTTACAGAAGCATTTTATACATAATTAATTTTTTCACCTAATAAAGATAATTCGTTTTTTAATATATCTCTTTGATAGTGTAAACAAAAATCAAACAACCTTAGATTTTGAATATACATATAAATACTTTTCTTTTTTAAAAATTAGAATTTTTAAAAAGAAGTGAGTTGTCCACGATTTTATTTACATCACAATTTATCGTAGAATTGATATCTAAGATACAATTTTAAATTCAAACAAGTCCGTTTTAGAACGAAGAGTTTTACTACAATCGTACAACTTAAAATAATTAATTATTCCACATTTCTCGAAATAATTGATCCCCAATCAATTACCTCTGAATGCAAAAACGCAAGTATATATCTCTAAAAAAATTAAAAATGAACATTAACCTGTTGGAATTTAAAATCTCACCATCGATACATCTTATTTTGTAATTTTTAACTACAGTGTTAAAATTATGCTTAAAAGCTCACGTGAAATATTAACATTTCAATCTAATAATAATTACATATAACAATACAAATATCAATAATTCAGATCACACTATGAGATACATGTTAAATTTTTTGAAGTGTTAACTTCAAACAGTAAAGTAAGCCGATCTGTCGGGCTATTATAAATATTTAAAATGATAAATCGCGTATTCAGCGATGTCATTTTAGCAACTTCCCAATTTTACAATGATTTTTTATGGAGAAAGAGTGTTTAGGTTCGTATTTTAAATACGTCTTTAGTTAAAAAAGGAACACACTGAATACGGATTAATGAATTTAAATCGGAAACACTACCGTAGATTATAACATTGAATTTCATTGATTCAGTGAATACATTATTTTTTCACCTCCATCAATAAAATGAAATTAACTTGGTTTGTCTTAATAGACGTCTTCTCCATATTCCATAACTATTTATTTGAAACTATATAGAGATGAGGTGTAAGGTGTAAGGTGTAAGCTGAACTAACTCACAATAGTGCAGGAAAAATTAAAAATAAATTATCATTACATCCAATGTAATGTCAACAAGTAGGCAAATTCTACCTGACTATGTTTTTACTTGTTAAAATTGCTCAACTTCTTTAGTATCTAGTAATATCAGGTAGTGTGATAAGTTTAAGTTGAAAGTGGAAAAAATTATAACGAAACCGCTAAGATGTTATGCTAAAAATCATAATTTAATCACGAAATTCAGCACGATTTAATTAGGGTGGAAAATAGAGAATGGACTAGAAAAATTTAAATAGAGAAATTGGGACACCCTGTGTAAAGAATGTGATATATAAAAGCATCCTTATTGCTGCACCTACCTCGAAAACTATTTATTTATTAAAATATAACAATCTCTGACATTTAACTTTCAAAAAGTTTTCAAAGGCATTCGTTATGTATCCAAAACCTCAAATTTTGCCAGGTAACAATGATTTTTAACACACAATATCTATGTAATTCGAAAAGTATATTTTCTGATAAATGTGATTTTGTTTCATCACGTTAGTCAAAAAAGGAACTTTACGAACGAATTGCATATATGTTTCTTGTAACCTCAATCATCATAAAATATAACTACAAGTCCATTTCAAGCGTGTTTTACGCACTAGTACGTAAAACTTAACTTTTTTATTTCAAAAATGTTGATTTTCAAATACATAAATGTATAAGCCTACCTCAAAAAACGTATGATTAAATTAACAAAAAATCTTCTGCTTAAACGGTAATCTAATTATAATATAACTTTAAAAAAACATAAAAAAAGTAAAACAGTTCGATGCATTTTAGTTAGCAATTGAAGCTATGGGTACAACAAAGACAACTTACATTAGATACTTATAAAATAAACGAAAAAGAAAGGGTGATGTTGCCACTTTCTCATTCAATCTTTTATTTTATTAATCTTTCTTTGTTTAACTCATAGAAATGACTCATATTGCAAACTTTTATGCACCTATGTGTATATATACCGAGCGTCCAAGTTCGAGCGCTGCAATCTGTAGAAAGAGAGAATCAGTCGAACTGAGGAGAGACGCAGCTTCGGCGCGATGAATCGACGAATGCAGGGTTCCAAGGTGATCGCTCGGTATAAAAAAAACGTGGACTGAGTAAATGTAAGATCCAGATTAATTTTTCTTTTATCAAAATGTTAAATTAGTTTCTAAGTATAGTGCAAAAATTGTTCTTTAATTATATAGCAAATTTGTTCGTTAATATTTGTTCTTTGATGACTTTCTTCAGAAAATTATTATAATAAAATGGAAAACAAAGAAATCCTAACAAATTAAAACCTGTTAGCAACAATTACTGTTGAAACCCATATAAGTAAATTTATTTCTACGAAAGTAAAATAAAATGTATATTCTTAAATTTTCCTACAAATAAAGAACATGTAAAATAATTAAATGTAAAATATTTCCCATTTTCCAACAAAGCCAATGTACATTTTCCCATAACGCACCAGTGCGTAAACGACTCGTGAAGAATAAAAATTGCATCGTGTAGAAATTGCAACTTGAAAAGCGATTTTAGAAAAACACTTTTTTGAGTTACATACAATTATTTTTTCTTAATGCACTATAACATAGTTTATTTGCTCGAATCACGAACGTGATTCATAAAACATTTCCATAACATAAAAATTTAACTTTCTTTAAGTAATTGGTTGTTGAATATACAAAGAATTGTGTAATTATTAAAAAGAAAATATACTTAACAATTATAAAAAAAAAGATTTACCTCATACATGTGTCTTCTATGAATGTTTTGAAGAATAAGGTACTTACAATTCAACGTGTCAACCCTGTCAAGTACAAATGGATTAATTAAAGTGCTAAATATAATTTGTGACCCAGAAAGTAAATAAATGGTATAAAAATAAATAAAAAACTCGCAATATTTAAACACTGTAAGAGTTTTTTTTGAAGAGGTAACTAGGTATTAACGTCTATACTATAATTTCTAGTTACGGAACGGATGTACTGCATACATTTATTCATTATAATCCCACCACTCTTTTTCGTATCCTTCATGAACATGCTCTAATAGAACTTTTCTACGACTTTCACAATACCTAAAAAAAATTAACATGAATATCAAATATTAACCAAATAATGGGAAAGGATATTAAGATGAGTATAAAGCGGCGGTTTCACATAGAAGTAGACTGTCATCACATCGACTGTTTGGGAGGCGTGGCCTCTCTGTTAGTTATTTTTTCATGTGAAACACTTAAATGCTACGACAGCTGACAGCGATAAGATTGACTGCTATAACTAGAAATTTTTGCAAAAGCTATGCGTTTCACAGATTTCGCCATTTTATTTCGTGACGTATTACGACTGCGAAATTTGAAAATCACCTTCAACGCTTAACAATTTAATCAATAAATGGTTTTCTTAATCAAAATTTGGCCTATTCAATAAAGTTAACTTCGCCCAATACTGTTTTTTTCGTGTATCTACTTCTGGAAAACTTTTTTTAACAATAAACAAATCATAGACATTCATAGTGCGTGAATCAGGTTATAGCAGTAGAGGTTCCCCCCCCTTCAAACACTCGCTGTGATGACAGTCTACTTCTATGTGAAACCGCCGCTTAAAGGATAAAAATAAAGGCCATAAGTAGATTAGTGAAATAGCTTGTGGACTTATAGGAAGACCTAAATTTAGCCACCATTTCTATGGAAATTAAAAAATATTTGTCAAGATTATTAAAATACTTTACCTGTATTTATCTTGAACCTTTTGTTTAATATCAGCGAGATTTTCAGACGTAATATCCCTCTCCAAATATTCCGATAACAACTCTGTGGCACTCTCGAGGTCTTTTTGGTTATCTTCAAAGATCACAGACTGGTTATTCTTTTGTAAGTAATAGGCAAACACGTATGTGTACATTAAAGTTTGCCTGCACTGACACAAAATATCTACAGCTTTTTTTAAAAATTGCACCTCTATCCAACTCATGTTGTGCTGTTGCATCTCCTCCATTTTGACTTTCACAGAAGCGTATAGTTTATTTTCGAATTTTAACGAAGCCATGTGGTTCATGTATCTATTGCAGTAAAACAGATAACGTTGTAACGCCGAACGGGATTTCTCCTGGGCATCCCTGGCAGCTTTAGCTTCATCCTCATCGTATCTATTGCAATTGTACCACGAGCTGCCGTGGGGTTCCCACGGGCCCAAGCACACCCAGCAGAAGTCGGCTTTGCAATTCTGATTTTTACACACCATATGATTGCACCCGCCGTCTTTTTCTATCGTTACATTACACCTAGGGCATTCTTTGGTGTTAGCTGCGATCCAATTGCTCGTTTCGGAATCATCATCACATTTCTTTATCCATTTCTTCAACAAGTGACATTTAACGGGATCGTGCCAATTTTCACCACAAGCGAAACAGAATGAATGCGTACATTTACATGTTACTTTGTGTGGCTCCACGTACTGAACTTTGATTGCGTTACTACAGTCTGGCGACGGGCACCACCTCAACAAGCGGTTGCACTGAAAAAAAAATAAACACTGTTTACAAACATTTATTATGCTTATAAACGTAGTTAATACTAAGAAATGTTCAATTTTTAAAGAGTAAATAACGGTAATTATAGACACAGGTGCATAAAAATTTGCAATATGGTCAATTCTGTTGAATATAATAATATGGTCATGAGTTGAACAAAGAAAGATTATTAAAATAACAGTTAGATTGAAAAGTTGCAAGGTCATAGTATCAACCTTTCTTTTTTCTTTATAAGTGTCTAATGAAGTTATCTTTGTTGCACCCATAGCCTAAATTGCAAACTAAAATGAATCAATCCGTATATGCACAGCAGGTTTGCTGGCAATATGGTCAATTCCATGAGTTGAACAAAGAAATATTATTAAAATAACAGGGTTGAGAAAGAGTAAGAAAGTTTTAATCCTACAGTATCACTTTCTTTTTCCTTTACATGAGACCTTTATATATGGTAGTTGTCTTTGTTGCACCCATAGCCATAGCCTACATTGCAAACAATTTTGCATCTACTTGTATAAAATATTAATCAAGAAGATATAACTAATTTTTGACATTTATTTCCAACTTCTCGATCATTCGTAGCTACCTGGTATATTTCAAGCTTTAATTACCACCAAAATGGCGGTTTATTTTTAAATTGATATTGTTTTTTCATTTTCACGACCACTTAATTGCTATATAATTAAAATTTAACTGTAATCATTTGTTATTTTAAAATTTATAACGACTATAAATTAAATACCTGGTTATGAATATCCGTTTTTTTGTTTTTGTTTTTTGAATAGAATATACACTGTCTAGAAGATACCACGCGAAAATCTCTATGCTTACATAAATATACAGAGATGTTTCGATTCAACAGACAAATCTTATGATCAATATAATAATATTTACTTAGTGTCTTATACATTTCCAATCCCAATTGACTAGCAACAAATTAAAAGTAATAATGGTAAGTAATATTATTAAGGGTTGCTACAGATATGACAAAAATTATTACTGATTTTTGGTTACGTGTAATCGAGTATTTATCAATATTAATCCAAGTACTCACCTCGACAAAGCTATTCGTTATAAGATGCTGGTATTTGAGCCTAACTTTCGAATCCCTAACTAATCTCATAACACTAGCATCGTCCACTAAAATGTCACAACCATGAGCTGCACAAGCAATCGTCTGACCGACCCCTTCTTCCATGATTTTTGTAGTGAGATATTCGCACCAGCAATGGGTGCAAAATCGGTGGCCACATTCTAAACCCGTCATGTGCTGTAACAAATACCTGCGTGTTTATGCAAGAGTTTTGTTGGAAAAAAGGAAAATATTATGCAGGATGATTAACCGAAAAATTATCGTTTCTAGACAAATACATGAAAAATTTATCTGTCGGGGCAAACAGTTCTCCGCTTGATTGAAAACTTGATAACTAAAATTATATAAAAGTTGTTCAATGGATGTTAATAAATCATTGAAACAATCTTGTTGTTTGTGCATCCTTTGTTTATTTGGTCTAGAAATGCCTTCAAAAAACAAAACAATAAATACACAAAAAAAACAATAAGTTTAAAAGAAAAGAATCTTTTTAAATTTAGTTTCAGCAATTGTGTTTTTAGAAATACTAATTCTATTTACGACAAAATTCTTTGTAATGAAAAATTCATGTTATTTTAAACAGTTTAAATTGACAAGTGTCTGACAGATAATCAAATGTTACTTACGGATGAAGGTAGAACCATGAAGCATATTTCACATTCCTCCGTTCCATTTGTTGATTTCTTCTGAGGCTACAATTATTCAGAAAATTATAACAAAACAATGAAATATCTAAAAAACATTCACCTTAGCCCTAAAACTAATGTTCAGTTCTTTGAATGGATTGATCACCCTGGCTTCTGAAAACAATTGATCCTGATCACCATCATAAAATCTCTCCATTAATTTCTCTTTATCCCATCTAAAATGGTTTAACAGAATTCGAGTCGTCGTCGCTGGTATCTATGAATTAAAATACAATGATATAATTCATTGTTGTGGAGGTTATGAAGTCAAAAGGTTGCAACTGGGGTAAATAAAAATAAACCTACCTCGACTACTGAGTTCACGTCTTTTATCGAATCTACCATGTGCTGAACGATTTCCTCGGTGCTGAGCACTTCGAAAGGGTAGTCATCTGAATCTGTCTGCATTTCTCTGTGACCAGTGACTTCAACTTCCATCGCAAAATCAACATCGTCTCCACTTGATTCGTTACCTGAGTCAACGTCATCGTAGGTTTCCTCTTCAGAGTCCATTTTATAAATGAATCAATCAAATATAAACATTAAACTGAGAAAGTTGAAGCAATATAGATTTTCACAATGGAAAAACAACACTATCAATTGAATTTGCGTTCATTACCAAACTGAACTTTACTGAACCGCAGACACCAAGGATAACATAACACCACGATGTCACATGTTTCACGTAAACACAATAATTTCAGAATAATTCACCAAATTCCATTTATAGTAGGTGTGTAAATCGTTGTAATGTTTTCACGACTAGTCGTGACTTCTAGCTAAATTTGCAAGCGAGAAAAGTTCGCCTACGACGCTCTAGTTTCTTGTATTTAACAATTCAACAGGTTTTTTTTATTAATTTTTACTTCATCTGACCATTTTTATGGCACTACGGCAACAGTGGAAATTAACATCGAAGTGAATGACACTTTCTCAATTCACTGTCATAGTTGTCATTTATGTCATTATAAAAGCGTTTTGTTGTATATTTTTGATTTATTATATAGATTATATTTACAGGAATACTTTAAATAGGACCATATTCCCTATTAATTGATTAAAAATAATTAAAAAAGATTATTTGACTCCATCAATTTCATTTGATAACCTATTTATTGCTCATAGAAATTGATATCTATCATCCTTGTCTGGTTGTACGTTATTTGATATACTGGTTCTTTATCTTTAGGTTCCAAGTATGAATAGAGGTGGAGGAAAATAAAATATTGTAACGTAGCCTGTAATTATTACATTAAACATTAATCTTATACTAATATACTAAATAAATTTTTTTTAAATTTATTCAAACATTAGATAACCCATAATATCAATCCAAATAAATTAAAATGGTCAATTTAAAAAAAGCAGGTAAATATTCTTTTCACTCACAGGGACACATGCATCTCTATTAACATACAGGATGAGACTAAAAATTAAAAAAATAAAAGTTGATAAATTTCTTTTAATTTTTATGAATCCATACAAAACATGTTTTTTTCAAAAAATTGCTGACCTCGAGTAAGTTTCTTTTTTGCCTGACCGTCCTAAATATAATTTAAGAGTGTGGCCTTTATCACAATTTGAAAAAATTGGAACATCTGTTAAGCGTTAGTTTTGCCAAGGGTTGCTATTCTCTTCACCTTTAAGTAGTCTTCTTAGTAAAGTAAGATGCTTTATTTTTTACAGTTCGATTTGTAATTTAGTTGTGATAAGCACTAAAAATAATATAATTTACTCCATATTTCCGTACCTGAATCCGCTCCTGCTTTAAATAAATTAGACACAGAGGCGTACTTCTGTAATATTATAATGTATCCGAAATTTATTTTGCTAAAAATATCGAGTGACCTTGTAAAATACCGCCTACTAGCTTTCTCTCCAAATCAAAATCAGTTGGACAATAATAAAGTTTCAGAATCGGTATAAATAATAATAATCTAAAAAAACACATCCTGTTCAAATAAAACGACATTTGGATAAAGAAAAATCATTTTCAGTGTAGTTTGTTGCTTTACAGAATCACCCTGTATAATGTATAATTAAGAATAGAAAAAATGCCGGTTAAACCTCGTATAGGCATAAGTAAAAAAATATTTTAAATATTGAATGCAAAAAACAACTTTGTTGAACAAAATCAGTGCAATATCTAATTACGGAGGCGCACAATAAAAGCGCCTTGGTTAAAACCGATATGAATATACAGGGCGAGAAGAGTAAAGTCTCGAACAAATCGAGTCGTGCCAGAGCGTATCGTTTATCGGTGGCTTATTGCCGTTACCCACCCCACCTTCCCAATACCGATAAGAACGCATCAAGTCTGCCTAGCAACGACCTTGATTAATAAATAACTCATACATATATCTTTCTTGCTCTTTGCGACCCTGCGCAGAAAGTGACCGTTAATAATTACCAGCATTTCATGCTAAATATTCATAAAAAACACCTTAGGATAACTTCGTTTGAAGAGTTATATAGATGAGCCCATTGAGCTGCGCCACTCAATTCGTCTTAAGTAGCTCCCAACCGGAAGTTACGGCTCTAACTCAAAATGAGGTTAGGGATTTAAGGAAGTTGAATGCCTAAGTTCATTGATATGGAAAACGGTTTGAGCGACAGCGCAAGCGTGGCGGCCATTTTGATAGAGAACGATTAGTCATCTAAAACAATACTCAAAATAAATTTGTTCATTACATCCTACAGGGAATTTTGCAAAGTGCTTTTTGTTATAAACTTTGTTTTTATTGACCCTATCACTTGCCAAAAAACTAATATTTAACCTTGAAATGCAATAATGTTCAAAATTGCTTGCGCCGGAATAACCGTTTTCCTTATGGATACGTTCCGTAAGGATCACTTTCGAAAGACCACGATAGTAACTTAGCCGTATTGAATTTTTTAAAGGACAATGTTTCGAAAGCACAGTAACTTCAGAGAAAAAAGTTTGGGAAGTTGTGCTTTCGTACTTTCGTAGGGGTAATAATTTTCCTATACATGGAGAAAAAATGAATTTAAAAAAAAACATATCCTTGAAATACAGTTAAGTTAGAAGACCTTGGAAAGACTGTACATAGCCTCCGACTGGGTGTCGTGACGTCACGATTATAGTGTCGTCACGTGAGTATAACAGCGTTTGGAGAGTCGTGATTGGTGTAGAACTGGTTTCGGCGGCCATCTTCTAAAAGGCAATAAACGAAAATCCTTACAGTGATGTAAGGACCCTGCGACGAGACTACTAGATCTCGCGCCACACCGACCATCTAACAACTGCCTTACAACTCTACGGCTCTAATAACGAAAACGAATATCGGGTACGGTACGTCGAGTTCGAGTTGGTCGAGTTGTGTCGACGATTGTGTGTCAAGAACAGAACGCGCTGTCGTCTAAATAAAGCTTGTAAAATCCTAGTTTGGTGTAAAAATATGTAAATAAATAGAAAATAACGTTAGTGTTAGTGTGAACCAAAGATATTTCAACTTATTTTTTACGTTTTATAGGAACTAACAATAATATATCTAAACACCGAATGTTTCGTTCTGATGGCGCTATGGCCGCTAAAACAGGGGAAAAATAATCCGCCTTAACCTCATTTGCTCATTTGTAAACAACGTTTTTGGAAACCACTCCGGAACATTAAAAAGAAATGTGGCTTTTTTTAAACAATTTACTCCAATAACAACAACAAACATCACACCAGAAACAGCAATCAGAAGTAATCATAATCATGGCAAAAGTTAAAAAGGTTATGACAGCAACACATTTTGACAGACAAATAATTTTTATATTCTAATGTTTTATTTTGTTGCTTGTTCACGATGAATGTTAAACAAGAAAGGCACGATGAAGCAGAGATTAGAGAGCTCGCTGCAAAATTCATGGAAGCGAGCAAAGCGAAAATGGCTATACCTCAGAGACCTGCACAGCAATCTGGTCAAAATCTAAACATTTTAAGTTTTTTTGGAAGTGATAAATCAAAAACGAAAAGTAATTCACCGAGCGAAATTGACACGAAAAACATAGATGAAGAATCGGTTAAGGGAAGGTTCGGTTGGACTATAATGGGTAAGATACATATTCCTTACATTACTCGATCAGGAGAGAGTTACTGTGCTGTTAGGATGGTGGAAATGAAAGTGTTAAATAAGTTGTTAAATTATCTCCATCAAGATCTTTATAATTGTACTAATATTAGAAGTTACTACATTACTGAAGCAGAGGCAAGACTTTTAAATGAAATCAACTTTAAACATTGTGACTATCAATTCGGTCGTGAACAATTTACTTCGAGAGATCTTATAGTTAGACTGACTGATGCTAATGAATTTTATCAATTCTTAGGACACTGTTATGCGAAACTTGTAAATACAGCTGATGCTGAAAACTTAGAACGATGTGGTTTTATTAGGATTAATAAAGAATCTGTGGTTCCTTATACAGTGTATAACGATCAAAAGTACGTACCCTTATTTTATTTTGAAGGTGAAACGGACAATCTTAAGCAACGTGCGGATAAGTTAGAAGGTTGGGACTTGTCGTATTTAAAGTTTTGTTGTAAGGTTCAAGGAATTCGAAATGAATTATTTGCACATGACTCTTGTTCAGTGATTAGTTTAAATGATATCAAAAACTACTTTCCACCTGGTACAATATTCGAGGATTATTGGCCAAAGAAGAACCTGGATTCACAGTTGTTAATTAGCAGAAATTCTAATCAACAACAAATTGTGCAATGGACTAGACAACCTGTGGCACCTCCGATATCGGCCCATCCTCCACCATCGCCAAAACCAGCTACCCAAGCAAAAGCAGCCAATAATAGTCACATGCATAATGTTCATGTTTTTCCAACTTTCGGAATGGCAGGCGGACAACCTACTTATCACACGACCCAACCTAGAGCAGCAAGCAGTGCAGTTAGAGCTACATATCCATCACCAGCTACTAGAATGAGACCTTATTTTCCCACAATGGGACAAGCACCTCCACCTCTAGTTAGAACCAATACACCTTCAACGTGAGTATATGTACTTTAATTTTTTAAACTAAATTTCATTCATTGTATTCACATTCATTGTGTTACATATGATTTTTAAAATTATACTATTTTTTGAACTCGTATTTTTTTATATTATAATACATAGGTACATATTTGGAAACATAGTGTAAATTAAAAAACATATTTCAATTGCTATTTGATTTTTTTTTATTTTTTTTTATCGAGTATTTTAATTTGTTCTTATTTTCAAAATTTATCATATGTATTGATATTAGATCAAATATATACAGAAAATATAGAATGTTTAAAATAAATTTCAAGCTAAACTACTTATATCTTGGCAACTCGATTTCTTCGAAAAGTAATATCTTAATTTTTCTATTGACAGTCATTTCAGTATTATACAGGGTTGGGTGATAGTGTGGCAAAGCTAGATACATCTCTTACAAAGTCATTTAAAAAAGCTTAAGGAGTTTTGAACTTCATACTTTTAAATTGTAAATAAATATAAAGCGTTTTGTAAAACCGTAGAAGCTCAAAATTCCATTTCATTTAAATACACTTCACTATAGAGGGTGTCTCATTTAAAACATACCATCTAAAATATTTTCCTAGGATATTTTTTTTTGAAAATCCTCGAGGTTGGTCGATTTTGATTTCAAGGGGAATTCATTTGATCTTAAATTCATGGAATTAGGTTCATTCCACTGAGCGGGGTGGTAACCCCTTCCAGAAAACTAAATGGCACTAGGGGCCAAGTGGCGCATTATTTTAAAAGTATTTCAATTCTCTTTTCAAACATGCTGACATTTGTGGTCCTGGTTAAAATTAATTTAAAACACCAGGTGGAAGTGTCGTGAAATAAATTGAAGAAAAAAAGTTTCCAAACAAGTACGAAACATTAATTAAATGTTCAAATTGCCACCCATTTACTTTCTTGCTGTAATAAAGTCTTTGCTCAACATGCTCCCGAATATTTCGGATCATTTTAGGGCTTATTACTCCATATGTACTGTTTTAAATAGACCACTATGTATACATTTTTACACCTTTGTTATCTCGGTGATCTCAATCCCGAAAATATACACTTACTGTCTATCTTGACTAGTAAAGGATCCACAGCCACGTAAAAATTGGTTGACTGTTGAAAATAGAGAAAACGTCTTCCAAGTCCCTATTCTTTCAAGTTCTGTAGAGTTATATTTTTTTTTAATTCACTTTGGTAAATTTTTTCAGGAGTAATATAAAAAAATCTGATTTTTAAATTGGTGTAACGATGTGGTGTAACAATTTAACGATGTTGACAGTACACGTGTTATATTTTTTAATGAGTGTAACTTTCTACAAAAATGTTAACGGATTTTGTAAATACAATTCTTAATTTTTTTATAAACCAAACTTTGTCTCACTAATGCCCCCACGACCCTGCATTTGTTACACAAACATCAACTGAATCTGTCTAATACTATCTGTCTGAATACTATGATTTTGTCTTCGAGGTTTGACCACATAATCACTCCACATTGCAAAGTCCAATATCGGTTTTGAGTTTTCCAGGCATACCAGATCATGTGTTTAACCCAATCGATTTCAGTTTTAAAAGGTTACAGGTTTCCACCCATACGCAGATAAATTAGCCTATACATCAAACATTCTGTCTTAAAAAGCTCCTGAATGTTTTGCATTTTGTAGAAAACAGTCCCATTTATAATTTAATTTGAATTTTCAAAGTATTTTTGCTAATTTTCTAATGTTTAGTTGCTTAGTAATGTTCGTTCAGTAATGTTTTCTAATGCGAAGTTATTAAATTATTGGTTTATATAATACAATAAAGAAAATTAAATAAATTGCTTATACAATAAATTCTATTTCAAGCCTATGGCACTATTGTGTGTATGAGATACATTTATATGCATGTATCAATTGAAAGCTCTCTTGGAAAAAGGATATAATTTAGATTGTTTGTTTAGAATAAAAATGTTTGCATAAAATATTTTTGGTATTTAAAATTAATAATTACACTCATTCTAGTTATACTATCGACTTTAGTGGATTTTTCATTAACTAATTACCCTAATTTAATATATTTACTTTGAATCAAACGTTTCAATGGTATTTGTTATGAAGCAATTATTTGCTTTACTTTTGTAGGATTTTTTCGTATATGTATCTCAAAATATTTTACTACTTAAATATCTAATTATAGTACTAAGGAAGTTTTTTGACTTCTCAAATATTTTATACAGCGTGTTCCAGCCAAATAGCCAAAATAGACACTGAAATTAATTGAATTTTTTTGACTATTAAGTAGGTATAAAGTTTTTAGGTAATTAGAGCAAATTTTATCAAGTTTGTTTTATACTATTATATTACAATAAACTAGAAGCAGTTTTCAATTTGAAATCAAGAGATTTTTCAAATTATTGAGATTCTAAATTTATTTTAATTGGTTGTCGGTTGGAACACACTGTATGCCTACAGTAAAATCTTTGTTACTCTAACATTCAAATATAATTTAATGAGGGAATTAATAACAAGAAAGGGTGGCCAAACATCAACCTTAATAAATTAGTCAAACATTTAATTACCTATTCGAAAAGTTGGTTGCCGCTCATTCGATTTATGTTTTACAGCAATTGACGTTTATTACGTAATATAAATTTTGTAATTAAGCAATTTATTGCAAGTTTTTTTTAGAAATTGTATTAATAAAAATTAATATAATATGAAGGAAAGTTATTGGGAATATCTTAAATATTCATAACAACAATCAAATACCTTCATAAATAATTCATTCCCATGTGTTCTGAAACTTTTTTAACCCCGCTTTGCTGCAGCATTAATAAAAAACAAAATTATTCCTATGATCATCAAAATTAAACCCAATGGTCTTTGAGGTGAGAATAATGGTGAAAAGTAATTTAATATTGCTTTACAGTCACCTAAATAGTGCAGGAGTATCAAATTAAGGTTTGAAAAATGTTTGCAGTGTCGTATATTTGGAAGCAGTATTATCAAGAGCATCGTTTTTTAGTTTTGTTAATTTTTGGACTTTGATCGTTTTCCCTTTGACCCTTCATATAGGAAGCTATCTTACTAATATTCCTTTAAATGCTGCCTATGTTGCCATTGTATACCTAGTAATTTATATGTATCAGTAATTTATATACTTCCTTTGGATTTTAATTCCAGTTGTCAATATTCTGCCTGTGGATTTTATTTCTATATTTGTTCTCTTCTTCGATCTATTTTAGCCTTTGATCCCTTTGGATATTTTGCTTAAAACTTTCTGCTCGCAAATATATAATTTATTTTCAAGAACTTTGGTCATTGTACATATTTCGCTTGCGTATATAACCACTGGACGTATAACTTGTGCCAATTTTGGTCTCTTTTACCCAAATTCCGTTCGTATAGTTTGGATAGTTGTTAAATTGGTCGTCGAGTTGGATGGTTAAATTTTATAATTATATAACGTTTTGTCAGTGAATATTAGTTTAGAATACTATTAAATTGGTTCCTATTCGCAAAAAGTCGAGAAATAATACATCTTTTTCTTCTAAGTATTTATCAAATGTTACGATGTGGTCAAGATTGCCCTCATTGTCGCGTGAGGAATTCATCAGTAAAGTTTTTACATTTGAATTTATTGGATTGATTTCCTCATCAGCTACAACTATTCTATTCGAGAGTGTATCACTTCAGTTTGATATTGTCGATTATTCCGTAATGTGCACCAAGTGTAATTATTTCGATCAATACAAGATTTTTACTGAATATCGAAGTAGCAATACGTAGTAGTATCAATTTAAAACCAACGCTTTTACCAACGAAATATGAAAATTCAATGGCTTTAATAGCACTTCCAACTCCAACCATTTAATAATTATAAATTATAAATGTATTTTAGGTAAATTGAAGCTAATTTTAGGTTTTTATAGAACTTTGTTCAGAACTTTTTAATTTAGTTTTTAGTGCTTTTTGCTTAATTTATATTTTTATATTGCGTTTTTTAAGTTGCAACCATATGGAAAAATGTTATTAGATTAAGGAAAAAGTCGCTTTTAAAATAATCCAGGTTGATTTTATTTCTTTTCCACTCATGTACGAGGTTTGTCAAAAATAGCATTTTAACTCCACAAAAGAGTAAGTTATTCTGCAAATTCATTCCTGTAACTTTGAAAATCAAATATTTCAAAAATTCCTCTTTTTGAAATTTTTCCATATGGTTCAAACTTTTTGAAACATACTACGTATTTGGTTTGATGAAAATTCCGTTTTTCTTGCAAATACACTTTGTTTCCATCTGAAACTAATAAAGTAGTCATCACACACACATTAGGTATTATTAATCTAATTAAATCATACATAAATTTTATTTTAGTCAGTTTTTTATTTATTTGTAACATATATCATGAATTTACATTTTTATTGGATCCAAAATGTTTCAATTTGGCTCTCAATTTTTTGAGTAACCATTTGTCCATAAACGTATGCGCTTAACATACTTTTCAAAACTTTTTTAATAAGTATTTGTTGATGTATAGTTGAGAAGAAGATCAAAATAAAAGTTGACGTAAATGTGTAAATGTGTTCAATGAATTCTACATTAATATCTTCTTTGGTTTCCCAGTTTATTTAAAAGAAACAAGTTAAAAATATTAATTTGGGACAAAAGGAATGATAAAAAATAAATCTTAGCTGCCAGTAATGTGAATGCTAACTTTAATAAGGATTTTATCTATGGTTACGTTTATCTTTAATGTTAACTTGCCTCGATCGAGAATTTTTAATTTGGCAACATAGTTTGTCCGCCAACGCTTTAATTGGCTTTTCTAGTTCCTGCAGGATTTTGCGCTTATTGACTTCAAAAGTTGGCGTATAAAGTAATAGAGTGTGACTTCAATGTAGCAACATACACCGGACGTGTAAAATTCATTTGCACTCAGATTTTCGACCAGCTAAGATTAAAGAACACTGTAGTTGATTGAATTGGAAGAGTCCGGGTCGTCCAGTGTTGCCGTAGTATCAAGACGAGGCTAGAACTTATACTTACTTGAATTTAATACTACAATGCATACAGATTGTCCCAAAATGAAAGGTTATGTGCTAATTGTTGCAGTTACATTTCCAGGACAGAATCGAAAAATTGAAATTGTTTTTTTTGTTATCCTCGATTTTTTATTTTAGTCTGAATACTGCGTGTGATGAAAAAGCTTTTAAAGGAGCAGTGCGGTTTAAACTTGTTTGCTTACGCTTATATTTTCAGTCTTATTACTTAAATTATCAATATTGTCTGTACCTAATCGTTAGAAAACAATGTTTGCTATTTATTCATTGAGCACAGTTAGTAGCAAAGACAATAAATTAAATATTTTATAGTATGGATCTATTTTTATAAAATTAGAGAGAAATTAAAATATTCCAAATTTTTAGTTTGATTCGCTAATTTATTGAACAATATTCAAAAAATGATCTAAATTTAGTTCTAAATTCTAAATATCAGTTGAATAAATTTGTAATTAACGATTACATTAGGCAACATGGTTATCAAAATAATTGCGAGACTCTGATTTTATATCCAGTTCTCTAAGAATATTTTTTATAGTTTTCGATCGTTTAGCGGATACCGAAAGGAAGATAATTGGTGAGTTCAATGTAGTGCTGAATTTGATTATATTTATTTTTTTTAGTACCGTCTTTTCTTTTTCTTGTAGCAATTTTTTTTATAAATTTAATGAAGAAACAACTGAAATTATCAATTTCAGTTAATCATTTGGTAGTGTGTCCAATAGCCTTTTCCACGCCAAAAATTGAACCACCTTGTTCAATTATACATATGTATGTTAAATAATAAACTCTCATTGTGAAAGATTGATTAAATTTAGTACATATAGGCCCGGTTGCTCGTACGCAGATCAACTTTAATCTGGGATTAAGCCGAGTTTAATTCGGGATCAAATATGGCCGCCGTATTCCAGTACTAACTTTAATCCAAGATTATCCCGAATTTAATCGCGTACGAGCAACCGGGCCAATGTGAGATTGGATTATAGTTTCTTTAGGGGTAACATGGCATTCCTCATAAAAATGCTCACTCCTGCAAAAAAATTATTTAGTACTTTAGGTGCTTTTGTATCATATCAAAAAATATTCCATTTGTTATATCAGTTTATGAGTCATTTATTATTACTCATTCGCAGAATAGGAGTATTTAAAAAATGTTATTTTGCTTATAGGTAGTAACTTAACAAGTAATTTAATATCAATTAATATTTTAACGTAATTTTAGTTAAAGCCTTAAAAAGAATAATGCTCGAATGTATGCTGACTGAATCATTGGCTTTGAGCTTGAATTGTTGAAACATTTTACTTCATTCTGGTTAAGTTCAGGCGAGGAAATATTGCACGCTGCAATACTGCGACATTTTTAACCTGAAAAGCAACGGAGATGTAGATGTTACAGTACTGAAAAGCAAAACTGATGAATTTGCATTTATTTAAAGTAGTAGGTCATTAATTTATTCTTAAAAAATATATAACAAATAAAAATCTAAGGCAATTGGACTTTGTCTAATTGTAAGTACATACAGAGGTAAACACTTTAATGTCTGGCTAACTAATACTTTTCATAAAATCATGAATGATGAAGTAAGAAAATTATTGGACCAAACAATATTAAAACGTAATGAGTAAAAGTAATAAATCATGCATGCTTACAATCCCTTTATTTGTATAGATTACCATCCTATTGGTAATTAAACATCTAAATTGGTGCCATTTTGGCTATAGAAGGTGGTAAGATGTTTTCTGTTTAGACAATGATTTTTTTGTTATACCTTATTCGTAGGTGTAAAAGTATTTGTGTAATAACTTTAATTTAATTTTTGTAAGCATTTACAGCCAAATCAAATTATTTTATGCTTGAATAGTTTGCAAATGAACTTGTAGAAACAAGAGGCTCATTTAGTGTTAATTTATTTATTGCAAATAGCTATTAATAGTTTTTCTTTTGCACACACTGCTAATTTTTTTAATTTGAATTACTTATCATCGTACAAAAATTATGAGATAGCTCCCAGCTGACCAACTGAAGCGTTGCCAGACTGCATTTTCAACATTTATTTTTAAAATTCAATTCAATTTAGTTCCCGGTTTACCTAAAACATGAAGTCATACGATATTGAAATGTTTATTGCGCGAAGCACAATATTGATTCTTTTAATTCATTGAATACCAATGAATTAAAAGTCTTTGATGTTTTTTTTCACTTTAAAAATAACTACGAGCTTTTACCGTATTACAAAAGCACTTAGAAATAATTTTTCGCAATTGGAGACTTTCTTCTGCGATTCTTCAACAACGCGCCCATTAGTCCATACAGTGATTGGATCACCAATGATCGTCTAAGAACAATTATTGCTGAAAAACCCATACAGGCGTAAATTCTCGTTAGTAAAAATTGAACGAACACTTACTTCTAAAAAAAGAATTTTCTTATTTTTATTATTGATCAGCGTACTTTTTCACAAAAGGAAAATCGTAAATTATAAAATATTCTATAAATAAGAAATCAACGTGCCTTACAATCAGCATATTTTACATTCCCAATATAAATTCTGTAAAGTTGCCTCTAGCTTCTAATTAATTGATGGCAAATTTGTAAATATTACTGTCCGTTTGCATTTATTTGTAACTTTATAATTATACAAAATGCAGAAGAGAAAATTTAATTGTATATTAGGTATAATTATGAGCATTTACGCCTGTAGGTTATCATTCATATTAATGTTGGATAGTTAAAAATTCGAGTTTGAAAAGATTCCATAAGCGTAAACGAGTTAATTTTAATAAAAATACCAATATGAATTTTACTTTTTTCGGTTTCTAGGCTGGCGCAATACAATGCAAATCAGAAGGCAGCTGGGGGCTACATGATCATCGAACCAAATATGAATCAAAATAACTATCATCAAGCGTCACAGGGAAACTATCCTCCGCCACTACTCCATATGAATGGAATATCAAGGTACGATGGATCTCACATCAGGTATTTTTTATTAAACTCATTTGAGCAGTTTAACTGTGTATTATTAAAGAGAATTTTCATACCAAAAATACTGGTATTGTTTACGGTTGTTAGCTGGAAAATACTAAAAGCTCCGAGAGGATAAGACCAATTACAATATTTCTTCTGTTTAGATATTGCTAGTATAGTTATTATAACCGGTTAAAAAGCTTATGAGAGCATTACTATGGTTGAGTATTACTTGAGCATTACTATGGTTGGTACTATAAGAAAAAATAAAAAAAAGGTTTGTTTTAAATTCCATTTTTCACGGGCTTTTCAATGACCTTTGCAATGACCTTTGCATTTGAAAAAATAAAGTTGGGTAGGGTTGCAACTAAGGGGTTGAAGAAAAAAAAATCATTTAATTGGCAACAAATCCGTCCAATATAAAATCAATTCACGTGTTTCAGCGTTTTTTGTTTAAATTACTGGTTCAACAGATAATAATTTTATTCCGGACTTTTGCCCAACCCTATATATATTATTGTTACACTATTGTTATTGGTACACTTTTTTTCTATTCGTAAGTAATTTATTTATAAAAAATATTTGTATCTATTCTCCAGCACTTAGTGGTTAGTTACGCTTGAATTATCATTATCAAAATATTTTTTAGAATTGGTAATTCAAAATATTTTTTTAATGGAAGGATTATTTTTAATGGGGAGCTCATACTGTAACATATTTATCAATGACGACAAAGTACAAGAATATTTCACTACCCTTGGTTTTGTTTAGATACATTTAACCAGTACTTATGATAATATACTGCTAGTAAAATTGTACAGGGTGTTCTTAAACATCGTGCATTTACGGTAGGGGGTAATTCCTTGGCTTATTTCATGATTAAAAGCTAAATATCTCAAAAAACTGTAAGAGCTCTAAAGAAAATAACAAAAAAAATCTTAAAATTTCAACGCCCTTTAGATCGGCAAGCGGTTGCGGACCTATGTTTATATGAACTTTTAGTCGTGAAATAAGTCAAAGAAGTACCCCCTTCCGTATATATGCACGATGTTTTAAAACACCCTGTATAATGTAAGTAGCTTTTCGAACGCAGGTGTTCTCTACAATAACGTTTTTTTATAGTAAACTAGCGGAAATATATTGCTTACTAGACAAAAAATTTGCGTATGACGAATGTAGGGGTCGTGTGAGCAATAATATCACCTGCTATATGTATATTATTGCATCATTAGCTGTATAAAGCTGGTTAATAAACTGTCAACTGTACGTGACTTTTGTGCAGCCATTTGATCCATATTTCGGTAAAAAATGAGATACTAATTGATGACAAATTGGCTATCAACTCTTTTTACTGAAGTGGACTTGATGCCTATAATTCCATGCTAAGAATAGGAATTGTTCTCAAGCTAATTGTGCTAGGCAATTGCAATCACCAATTAGATACCTGGATCATGCTGTTACATAGTATTGAGTTGGGAGTCGAATTAAATAATAATTATGACAAATAAGGGATGGTAACATATACAGTGTTTTAATGCTCGTTTGTTGAGTTGGTGACCATGAACTATAAGTTGTAGATGCGTATTTTTAAATTGTGCTTTTTACGTTTTTTTAATGCTAACCCATCAGGACTGTGGAATCACTTGAACGATTCAACAATCCCGGCACCTCTGGGCAGGTTGAAAATGGTTTTCACTCGTCGATTTCGCCAAACTTTCTAGAGACCAACACAGACGCATCACCAAATGGTGACTACTACCAGTAGGTGTCAATTTCTTGTTCACTGTATCGATATTCCTTTTTGTTACCATTATTTCAGGATTTCGTCAAGTTAAAACTGAATGTTTGTGGAGTAAATTTGCTGAAGAATATTTTTTTGCAATGCAAATTTATTCAGCGAAATCCTTTATAAGGAAGCTTGAACATGCATCCCTTTATTAGAAATTCTAAAATGTATTGCGAACAGTTTCTTGAATAATCGATGATAAAATACCAGGAAATATTCTGTTTTTCATTCATTTCGTGTTTATGTTGTTAACATTTGCTTTCTGGTATTATTTAGGGTTTCGCTGAGTTTTTAGGATTCTCATATTATTTAGGAGGCTCTTTCTTTTCCCGTTTAGAGTTGAAAATGAGTCGTTTTGTTTGGTTATTGACAAAAAATTATGTTATGGACGATAAGAGACAAATAAAAAAATATCTGTGGAGAAAACCGGTTTCAAAGAGTATCGCGTTTCCTGTTTTAAAACTGTACTTGCGAAAAGTATGCAAGACCTGCCATTTTCGTATTTTGCACCGGCTATGTTTGCCTTAATCTTCCACACACAGAACACTATAAAAAATATGAAAATACAGGGCGATCCATGTGCACATCGAATTTTAGAAGCTAGAAGACACAACAACAAATGCTGCTTACGAAATTTGTTGGTGCATTTTAATATGGAAAATATGTGTGTTATCAAAATAGTAAATCTGTCATCAAATAACTCGTATTAGTCATCATATCGCGATTTATGTTTTATGCAAACGAGGCAATACTGTCATTTCAGCAGTGCCTAATGAATCTCATTTTTATTAACTTATTTTAATGGTTTCAACCATAAACATTTGCAGTAGAATCCATTCTTGCACCCTCTGCCGATATTTCTCTTCTGGTTCTTAAATAAATGTTAATAATTTACTCTGTATTGTCTGTATTGTATTAGTTTTCGGTTCGAGTGTTTTGTCTTATCTACCCGGCGCCGTATTGTTTTAAATTTTATATAATCACTAATCAAAAAACACATATTTATAATACGTAAATTAACGATTGTGATCAATGACATACACTTTATGAAAATAAAGTACAAAGGTGTCCATTTCTGCTTCTGAATTGTTTCCGTATAAATAAGTTTTATTGCACTCAGGCTGCAGTTGAACCTTTACCTCAACCTTCCAAGACAGTCTGTCATTGTATTAATTTTGTGCAATCAAAAATGAACAGAAAAGTCTAACAAAAATGATCAATAAGAGTGTGATGCTTTCTTGTACAAAATAGAACTGCGCAATTTAATTGCTGGCCGTAACTATAAACCGCAGATAGTTAGGTTTATGTATATTATATGGATACGAGGCAGTAAAATAGTAAAGGATCTCAGCCAGGAGAACGATTATGGAACCCAGATAATTAAGCAGACATCCCGTAATCGACCTGTGACGTGTAGTGAACAAGCAAAAGGATTTTACTTATTTAATGAAAGGTTGCACGTAGGCCATACCTAGCACAAAGCTAATTGATAATTATGATTCTTTGCTTCAAGTTAAATCGGTTTTTTAAGTTTTACAATATTTGATTTAATATATGATTAGTAATGAGTATTTTCTTTACAGGGAGTGCGCGAATAATTACAGTGTAAGTAGTACGACTGCCCAATTAGTGAATCAAAATCCAGCCCATCAACAACCTCGAACGGCATCGAATACGCCATCAGAAGAAAGAAACAGTATGACGAACGGACGATCATTGCTGAATAGTGTTAGTAGGAGTAATAGTAAACTTATACCTTTATCAGATACACCGCCTACGAGTACTAATAGCATTCCATATAAGATACAAAAAGTGCTAGTTGAAGGTAAAATGGTTCCTTGTATTAATATGAAACCGAATATCTGGACTGACATGCTAGTGACATTACCTGATTTAGTAACGAATTTCTTCAATAATGTTCCTATACAATCGTGTCAACAGGTTATGCAAGTGCTTGGAATAGAAATATACAAAGCTAATAAGTAAGTTTGTTGATATTGTACCATGTTACTGTAGGAATTAAAAAAATAGTAACAGTGGAAGTTGTTAAGGAAGAGATACTACTTTTTGGCAAGGGACATGTCACTTTAAATAAATGCTTTACTTGCCTCAATAAGTTCATTTTTGAAAGGTTCCAATGCTAGAAAGAATTCATTTCATTCAAGTTTTATCGTTTTGCGACTTTATTCAACTTGTAATTAATTATGTCTCTTGTCAAATTGGTATGCTTTAACAATCGCTATACATGTCCTAGTCTTGATTAATAAACACTGCGTTAGAAAATAATTAATTGGCACTGAGGTAAATGACGTCTTATAGTTGTAATTTGAATATTTTGCATAAATAATAAAGAACTTTTTGACCATGACCTCGTACGAATTAACGTATTTGTTCGATTGAAATACACATTTTAATAATGCTTATTGTCTCTTCTTTGGCTACGATTTCACATGCACTACTCATATTGTATATTTGACTAATTATTCTATCATTTGTTACCTTTTACTAAATCCAGATATTTTGTATTTTTAGTTCGCAGTTGCGGCTGTTAATGGAGAATGGTAGGTGTGGAAATGCCAGTGAAACAGTACCCTTAGTGCAAGTTAGGAATGTAATTGACTTCATGCCTCAGCTGAAGTACATGATGAGTAGCATGTTAGCGTCGGATGTAACAGCGTCAAAAAGGCTAAGGAACAGCTAGGAGTGGCTTAGTTGGGGGGGGACCTGTGACTTTAACATTGACTTTTTCAATTACTAGTGAAAGTGGAACAGTCTTTATTTAATGGAGGTTTACGTTAAAAATCATATTGTTCCTACAGTGTAATATAGAAGAAAATGACGAAGGTGAAACGTTACATTAATCAGTGTAGGTTTTGATGTAATATTTTACTTTTAGCGTTATTCAGTTTGTAAATTTCATACGGTTTAACAGATATTTTAAATTGTTCTCACTTAAAATAGCCACATTTTTTTATTATAAAGCTTTTTTTTATTGTAAGTTATCGTCCTAGAAAGAAAAGTTGCCATTTTTTACTAATTGTAAATTTACATTATTTAAAAAGTTCTGTAGGAGCAAGGTTCTAGTATAATATAAATAGTTAAAATAGCCCCTTCTTTATTACAATACAATTTTGTATGATTTTTTTTCTTAAATTAAGAACACAAATTTATCTTTTTTAACTATTTATTTTGTAAGATGTGCTTTAATTAGAGCTCATTTAAAATTATGGCTTTAACAAATAATTACAAAATTATCGATAAAACAAATTGCTATAATTACATATATTAATTCAAGGTTTATTCAAAATTTATTTCATTTTGATGAGGATTGTTTATTACATTAAAATTAAAGCAATACCGACATACTTAGTACGTGTTCAGTTTTTTTTTATTAAATGTACACCATTCTAGTGATATTAGTATAGTTTTTTTGCTATAACTGCACTGCCATTGATTTTGTTTGCTAATCATAACATTTTCTATACTGTATTTCAATTTTTTTCTTTTTTGTCAAACATGTTTTCTTATCCATTATGTAAAGTAACTAGGAATGTCTCAATTTTTTAAGTTTTCTAGTTAATTATTTTCAAAATTACAATACATTGTAATCAAATTCTTATAACTTACAGATTTCTTGTAATATCTTGAATTAATTTGACTGTATTAAGTATAAAGATCAAGAGTTTGCACTATCCATTAAGACTGCTCTCTATGAGCTATTCAATAGTCACATTGTTATTGAATTAATACTGCATTTCTATTAGTCTATTTATTTGATATCGGCTATTCATTTGAGTCTTTGTCATGTGAGAGTTTTTATGATTCCGCATTTTACATAAATATTATAATTTTCCGTAAAAAAATTCAAACTGGTTTTTTCCTGCTTTCTGCACCTTAGTCCCAATACTTCAGAAGTACAATTGAACAGTGAGTACTCTTACCAATACAAGCTTAAATTGGTGAGGTTTTTGACCTTATGTGAAAATTAGAATTTGTTTTATGATTAGCATAAGATTCTGATCGATTTTCTGGTTTATTATGTTGTGCTCAAAAGTGGCATTAATTTCAAAGTGTTAATCCTAATTTAAAATGTCTGTATTTTCCTTATATTATTTATTTGAGATAAAATATAAGGTAATAGATAGATATATGAATGTGAAATTTCCAGGGTAGGGGATTATTATAGACATCCTAAGATATCCTAATATACATACAATATTAGAATTTTAAACACTAGATTTTTCACTACTCATTTTTACATTCTTTTGTGCATTTTTTGAGATTTTTTTTTCATCGATAGATCTGATTGATACGTGTCAAAATTTTGAATGTTTCACTTTATTTATTAGATATTTTCAACTTATTCTCCTGCCTGTGATATATGCGCAGTTCTTACAAATCAGTATTTTAGCGACCATTGAAAATGAAAATCAATGCGAGACATACTAAAAGTATAAGGCATTTTATGATAGGAGTCAACGTAAAACCTAACACCTGTTCTTTTAGATGTAGAATTATTTATTTATGATAGTGATTTGTTGTGATATAATTGTACATATAGTATAATTTTTTATTTAAATCGCAAAAATGATGTTTTGCTAACGTTTGTTTCCTCTGGGTTTGTTTAATTACTAAATTATAATGAAAATACCGAATTGCAACGGATATATTAGGCGTTTTTTTTGTAAAAATTGTTACTCGACATTTTCATATTATGTATTTAATTTCCACTTAATTTATAAAATTACAATTTACACGTAAGTTCTGTAAAGTGCAGTATTCATATTGGTCATTGGTCTGTGATGTTAACAATTAAAGTTTGTAAATCTTTGGGGTGGTAAGGAGAATATTACATTTTCCGTTTTATTTTTTCTTATTTTTTACCTTATCACTCTGCAGATTTAAGTAATGGCGTCATTTGACTATAACCAAGAGGAGCTGGTAACTCCACTGCGTCACAATTACCTCAAGAACTTCGGGGACAAGAAGCAAAAATATCCAGACCCTAAATAAAATGGCTAGAAACAGGAATATGACTGCGTCGAAAAGGAAATTTCAGAAGGCGGATAATGCTCGTTGAAATTATCTTTTTTTTGTATTTATAAACTTTGATAAAAAATATGTTATATTTATTTGTAAACGAATTTACTTTTTCCCCACATAAGAAAGCTTGTTTTTTACGCATTTTGTAAAGCTCCTATTTAAATAAATTTATCTGGTATAATAAACTTAAACCTGAAGAGAATATTAATTATAATAGGATGTACATTTTTGAATCAAGTCAAGAATCAATTTAGTTTTTTCTCCTATCAGGCTCTCATTTAAACCTTTAAGCCTCTCCATTTTTCTTTAAATTTAATTTACGTTACTTCGATCTGTTGATTTCTATTCTAAAGATTAATTACCTAGTGAGTTAAACTTTAATTTGCTGCATTCGTTCTTTTATTCAACCCGGAGTTTACTATAAAAAACTGATACCCTAGGCTGGTAAATAATTTATCAACAATTTTTGAAGCGCTGGTCGTTTTCAAATTGGAAAATTGACGTGAAAAAGGTAACCCAGTATTCCATGGACTGCGTAAATCCGTCATGACGAACATAAATTGATTGCGAATTGTGTTGAGTCGAAATTGGGACCACGAATTAAATGAGCCTGGATGCAAAATCAATTAGGTATATCAATGGGAATGAGGTGAAGTTATACCGCGATCGCCTTAAGTCTTATTAATTTGTTTACTGGCTTCGGCTAATTGGACAAGTTATAAATCGTGATCTAACTGGTTGATTAAAGGCATTAGATCAATTGAATCTTCAAAAATATATTTTTGTAATGTGCTCAAAAAATCTCAAAAAATGTATATTAATAAAATGCTACTGCAAACGACTACTTTTTTAATCGTTTTAGAGGGTTCCGTGTTTTTTGACAGTCAAATATTTTTTATTACGTTTACATTTCAAATAGGTAAAAAATATTTCACTAAAGTAACTTAAAAGTTACGTTTGTACAATTGTAATTAAAGCAAAACATCTCGAAACACGTTCATATGGATACAGTGAGGTGACCTTAACTTTTTCTTATATTAAGAAATGTTTAGTCTGATAGTATCAAGTATTTTTCACTTAGGGCTGTAAACAAATCTTTTGCCTATTCAATATTGAGACCATTTTCTGTAACTGTTGTATAATAATTTTTTTCAACACGTTCGCCCCGAAAATCAGTAATTTATTCCCTTAGCACATTCAGCCAGTAGTCGAGACAATTCAGTATTGTATACAGAACGGTGCTAGTGGAAAAATAGCTTTCAAGCCAGTGGTTACTTTAAATAGAGCTTACTTCTTTTGCAGATCGATTTTTTATTTTTTGATGCAATTTAGTGATCACAAAGAGAATCATTATTTTTTTTAAATTAATCTCTTATCACATTAGTAACTCGATTAAAAAAACGCATTTTTTAAATCTTACAAGTTGCAATTAACTTTGAAGAATCGTTTTCCGAGGGGTTAATTAAAGGATTTGAATGACCATTGAATCGATTTTATTTTTCATCCAATGTGCATAATATTTCTACTTGTACTTTATTTAAATTGTACGATCACTTCGTACTTGGAATTTTCTTTTTACCTGTGATACTGGCTTTTGTACTTTAATAAAAATTGGCCTGGCTCGGCACCTGGCTGTATGTTATGTTGCATTGAACCAAATTTGTTGCAGGTTTTTGGCAGTGAAACAAAACAGTTTTCTTATTTACATATTCACTACCAATATTCTAAAAGATTTGTAAAAATTCATAAATATTTAGAACTTTTGTACATAGTAAATTGTTATTTATTTATTTATAGTAGTTAATTTTGTCTTCTGACTGTTTTTTTTATTATAATATTACAAATCCATCTGGTTTTATTTAGGTGCCTAAAATGAAAGTATACAGGGTTAATATTGAAATTAATAAATCATTTAAATGTGAAATAGTTTAGTTTTCCTATTAGTTCACCGAAGTCGCAATTCCGATAAATAATTCATAAAATGCCATTATACCTTTCAAATATTTTCTATTTGATATTTGAGCGAGGAGCGAGCTCTCTGAATTTATAATACTTACGATTACACAAATGCATTTTTCCGTTTTTTTGTGTCAATTATAAAGTGTCAAAGAGCTGTTAAATTTTGGCAATTTTGTTTAATACTATTAGATTTAAATATATATGTAAATACGAACCATTACTCAAATAAATCTTTTAAGTTATATTGATTACTGTGTATTATTTTGATTAAAAACTACCGATTTGATGGTAACCCATTGTTTAAAAATTGTTTTGTCTTTGCTCATTTTTGCTATACGTTCAGGAGCAAATCCATATTAAAAAAGTGTTTGTTTAACCCTTCTAAAACTAATGAATCTATAACTTGATATTTTTAGGGGGTTTTATAATATTCAACGAAAATAAATAGGTTGGGAAAATAAATTCTTTGGGGAAAAGTTCTTGTTCCCGCAAATAATGGCACTGAGTTCTGAATTTCTAGCTTTTTACACAACCTGTATCTCAAAATTCTTACAATAAAATGGACTTATTAACCAAGAAACCTCCTTTTTTTTTCATGTTTTGAAATTGCCTGTTATAATAATGAAATTTGTATATTTTTTATGCTTATGTAATCATTTCAAGAACCGTTTGTATTGACTATTTCTTATGAAATGTTTGGTCAATTTCTGATGTATTCATACTTAAATATATTTACCAGCAATAATTAGACCACACTTGAGCACTTCTTAGAAGTAATACATACGTTGTGTTACCTACACGCAGATATATCTGCAGGTATTAACAACATTTTACCATTTTATTGACATAATTTCGAAAATTTTCTACAGTGGGTAGGGTATATCCAGAGAACTATTAGAAAAGTGGGTGCTGATCTAGTATGCGGTCTTTCCAAATTTATTTTATACAAAGTATAACAGAAGATTTTGAAAATTGTCCCTTCATTAAGCAGAAGAAAAAAATTTACTAGAGTTGTATTATTTATAGAATAGCATGTGGGTAATTCAATTCATCGAGAATCGGGGAAGTAGCAGTATTCATTTAAACATAAATATACCTATCTTTATTAAGCGAACAAAAAGATTTTACTAGTATTATATTATGTATGGAATAGCAGGTAAGTAATTAAATTAATTGAGAATTACGGAAGTGTCAGAATTATTCAGGGTGATTTTAGTACAGGGATCTCGAAAAGTGGGGGAGATGTGGATGTGGAGAAAAAAATTTAGATGTGGAGGAAAGTGGAGAAAAAAACTTAAATGAACAAACAATTTGCAGTTTTGTGAGACTCAAAATCAGTACCAGTTTTACAAAATATGACACCTGTCAAAGTACATATTTTAATATACTTGGGCGACGAAATATGTAGGTAGTCCACAAATATTATGGTAGACTCCATACTAGACCGGCACTGTAAAGTGTACCGAATCAATATGTATATAAAAAACTATAAGAATAAAGTGATAAGATTACCGAAAGTAGCATTAATTAGCAATTGGAGAAAGCACGTGCGACGTTGGGGTAGTAAAATTAGCATTTACCCCAAATCGAAAAGCAGCTGATTGCGCGCGTGATGTGCGCACGAGATGCCTTAATACTCCAGTTCTAACGTTACCGCGGAAATGGAAAGAGTGTTAAAACGCGTAGGGCTCGCCAAAAGAACACAATCAGATGCGGAAGCCAATATGACCAACAACACCGGCGACAATCTGAAAGCGAGGCGGCGACGTCGAAGCAAAACCAGGCGACACCCTTCCAAGGAAAACAAGAAAACCGGAGGCGGTTTATTTAATATTGATTGGGATTCTGTAAAAGATTGTAAATCCTGCAAGTCGAGAGCCATCGCTAGGAGGTTCTGCAGCAAAAAGGCCGATAACGAGTTGTATAGATCAAATAGTTTCAAATTCGAACGATTTATAAGGGCTAATGAAGACATTTCAACCTTAGGGAAAAAGGTTAGTATCTATTCTTCTCATTATACAGAATATTCTTACTCCAAACTCCCACAGGTGGATGGGTTTTTCAACCTCCGGTTCATGAACCTCTTGATATGATATGACCTAGTCTGCCCTACTTTAAGGAGAAACACCCTTCTTTATTAAACAAATATAATTCAAAATAACCAATTAAAACACTATTACATTTATTACATCTAAGAACACATTTTTTATTTTTGCATATTACTATTTCTCATCATATAAAAAATGGACTTCAGAAAAATTAAATTTACATTAATTATTCAATCCAATCCCCCCTTAAATTAAAATTAAATCAGCAATTTAAACATCCAAAAAATTATTTCTCGCAAAACAATATTGACCAAAAAATAACAAATTCTGAACAAGTTAGCATCTACCATTATATTACATCAACCCCTAGATCAAATGAGTTTTCAGTTTTAATTAAAGATTTTAGTTTAGCGTTCAGCCTAAATGTAATTCAGAAGATATGGGACTACCAAGTCGAACTAACAAACTCGAACTTTAAGCGCGTATTTGCTCCTGACAACTTAATATTCGAACAAAGATATGATGATGACTCACTGTAGTTCCCCAAATATTTACAACTTAGCAAGTAGAACAATGAACATCTCCATTCCTCGGATTAAGAGATCAATATCGGGGGAGAATGCATGCAGAATGTCTTGTTTTCCGCAAATTCTTATTGCTTGCATTTTGCTACTGACTAATCAGAATAAAGCTTTGTTCACTGCAGTATATTAATCAAGCAAAATTTACTTAGTAGAACAATAATAAGCAAAAAAACGTTAGCAACAAAAGCATAAAAATATACAGATCGACAGCAATAGCATAAACCGGGATATGCGCGAATTACTTAATACCTCTGGGATAGAGCATAAGCGTCAGCGTTGTGAGCTATTCTATAGTCGATCTGTACCTAAATCATCATTGCAAACAAATTAAAACATACAAAATTTAAAATATATAACTAGTTTTGCCTTATACAGGACTCTAAATTAAAATATATGCAGCACTGTGGGAAAATCTACGAGGATTCCGAGATTACCATAATTTCGAAAAAGCAACAGGGGTATGAAAGGCTGATGTAACTTGTGTTTCATAATGCAGAAACAAAATGTTATTGTGTCGCCTTTGCATTTAAAATCAGGAATAATGAAAAACTTTGTTAAATCGCTTAATCTTGAAGGTGAAGAGCTTTCCAATATCTAAGAGAAAAGTTCAAAAATTTTATAAGTAAGTTACCGAGTACATGTCGGGATGATATTAATGGAGTTGATTAAAGATAAAATATTCGAGATGAAAATTAAATAAAATAAAAAAATCACTTGGAATTTCATAGTAAAATAAGTTTTTATTAACTATAACTTATGAATCTTATCATGTGTCATTATTTAGTTTATTATTAATCCTGTAGTTAACAATACAAAATTATTTTTGCTTAAAATAGAGCAATTAGATTTTCCGGAAAAGAATAAAATTATTTTTTAAATGCTCACCCGAAATGACTTCATTGTATAACAAAAGTAATAGTTGCATACATGTTTAATAATAATGAGTAATAACATGATGTCATTGACAGTACTTTTATAACTTATTAATCTGCACTATAATTAACAAATGATAACCTTTAGCGGACAATTTGTAAACATCATACGCTTGTAAAATATGCCGGTAAAAGTTTCTAAATAAAAAATAAAATTTTGCCTAGAAAATAGATTCATTCCATAAAAAAGTTTTTTCATCGAAAATCAATTAACGAAACTTCCTTTATTCAAATCCGCGCGCTTATAAAACAATTCAGGGCTAGATAATGTTTGTTTTTTTTGCTCTATACGTGCGATTTTAATCCTTGTACAATTTCACGAGTATTTTGTATTTGCCTTCCAATACATGGACCGTCATGAAATTATTCTTCCAATGTTTTATCCTACTAACTAAGATAATAATTTATTATTTATCCACATACATACCTAGTTGGCAATTACATATTAATAGAAACTCTTTATTTGAAATAATTTTCTAAACAATTTTATTTGAATATGATTGGTCGATGCCGTTCCTGCTAGATTATATGGTAGGTATAACAAACGTAAACCAGACAACGTGTTTTTTTTCAAATTGAAATTTCCTTTTTTTGTTTGTAAATTGTGCAAATATGGGAGTTGGATTAATATTTGATAATGATTGTTTGAAATCGATTTTCTCCGTTGGGTATGTGTCAAATCGGGGTGTAAAAATTGTGTTGTGAAAATTTATGATTGAAGTGGAAATTAAATTTTTGTTATCCATGAAAACATTGTCGATATTCAATTTTGTTCCTTGTACAGATTACTTCCTACAGTAAACGTATATGGGAAAAGGGAGGATTGCCAGAGTCTTCCCTTGAAAGTAAATAAAAAAAAACTACGTAAAACTTATTCAAATTCGAAATCTATTTATTCTTAATCAATATACTAGAGTCAACGAAGGGACTAACTTCATTTGTTTTCGCAACTTTGCCTGATACCTAAGGGTTAGAGTTGTTTTGTAAAAATTCAGAATTAATTATCTTTGCTTTGCTACAGACGGAATAAAACCCTTTTAATTATTTTGTGCAGCTTGTTTGACAACGCAGAATTAATTATTCAAGCAATTAGTATACTCAATTCAAGGCATAGTCTCAGTTAATTTCACGCGATAAGATTAAATATCAACGGAAGAAACTAAAGTAAAAATTAACTTGAATTCTTACACGGCCTTTCCCGGAATACTAATGAATTTTTACTGGATTTTTTTTAATAAAATTAGGATATTATTAGTGATATTACAATTGAAATATCACTGCACCGAAATTTTAAATTGGATGAATAATTTTTGGCACGGATGTGGATGCATTTTCACATTAAAATAAATGAGACGTGATAATGTCAAATGCCTTGCAATAAATCACTATTAATCTGAAATATGAATTTAAGTAATACATTAGTATCAATTACGTAAAAGCGTCCGCAAATGCTCAATATTCAATATATGGGAGCTTTACTAAACATGGCTAATGGTGATATACGATATAATATGTATTGTTGCAAGGAAAAGTAAAATTAGAATATTTATCGTTGGTAACCAACCTTGTTATACCTAATGAAAATAATTTAGCATGCAGATTAATAAGACGCCGTAAATCGTAATTCTCTATAGGTGTATAATACAGGTTACAACACGAAGCCAAAATGACTAGCGTGTAGGGAAAGCCCTTTTCGTGATAAGAACTCATCACAGAACTTAAGTGCTATCTCAATCACTCAATACACGGCTCATTCGATTTTATTCTTTTTCGGATTTGTGCTCAGAGCTAATTGATTGTCATTTAAAATGCTAATTTTATTTTTCTATAGTTGTAGGTAATAAATAATCTTACCTTAATATTGTTCTGCATCTAACTCTTGGGATTAACGCCTTCGGCTATTTTCAAGATTTACGGTTTACTCGATCGAACGGAAAAAGAACAACTTGAGACGTTTCTGTGCTGCATTGGAGTCTAACAAAGATTGGCATAGAATTGGAAAGCATATAGTAATCTCGAGTGGTGTTACAGAAAATTGATGATGTTTCAATTTCGAATGGAATCGTATATCGTATATACTGAAAAACTTGATAACTCTAAAAATAATGTTGATTTTCATAGTAAGCTCATTTTACATGTTGGTACTCTTTTTATTTTCTAAATGGTTGCTCATTTCACACATTTTTAAAGCTTCCATGCATGAAAATATAGAGATACGTATTCCGAAAAAATTAACACCGATGCATTTCTAATGCAGCCATAACGTAATCCACGAAAAAAAATCGAGTTTTACAGTATATTGCTTTAAAACAACATAGGAATAAAATTCCTGTTTTATACATTTTAACTGTCTCCCGCCAGCAGAATTGAATGCATTGAGGATTAGTCCATTAAATCCCTCAAACAATTCATTCCCAAAGAAAAAATTAATTATTAGTACTGGTTGAGTGGGAATTCAACTCATTCTATATTGATAGGATTATATTGAAGCATGTATTAACGAAACCTTGTAATAAAGCTATTACAATACGATTAGTTATTATTATTACTAAAAGGATTCATAGAAAAGCTTGATGATCATAGAGAATATAATGCAAATAAAACAATTATGAACAATTTTTTTAATGGTTATTGGAGTGAATACATAAATATTGTAATGAAGTGAGAAGTATTTTTAGGTATTAAGTACGTCATGTTCGGTGATTTAGATGTTGTTTAGAAAAATATGAAAGATAAATGTGTTTCATAAAGTAGCAACCCCAATGGCAATAAATATCCGGCAAATCTCTCTTAATTAAATAAAGTTCACGTTTTCTATCTAAAACTTAAATTCCCATCCAATAAATAACTGTGGCTGTCATAAAATATATAAAAGTTGTTGGGTAATTTCTCAATTACCTGTCCAAAAGAGAAAAAAGTGTGAGATAGCCACAATAAAACACACCTGTAATACTAAATCTAGCGATCTCGCGCCGCGGAAGCTTTATGATGTAGTCCCTTGGATTTTTCTCCCAACTTTTATAGACGAGAAACTTACAGCTAGTAACGTCAATTATAATATTAACACTATTAGCTGCAATTTCCTCAGGAACTATTACATCTGATGTAATAAAAGTCAAAATCGACTGCCACGATGGGGATTTTATTGACTTTTATATTAATCCCAAAGAGACATCCATTTGCTTAATCAATCCATCGGTTTCTATCAGTAAAAATTTACAATTTTAAATAACAGCGTTGTTTGATCGATAAAAAATATAAATGGGGAATTAGCCCGTTACTTACGTCAAATGCCATTCTTTCTAACATTTAAGTTTGTCCTATATTTAAAAATACTTGACAATAATGAGATTTGATGTAATTACGTCAAAACAACGTAACTCTATTTTTACACGAAAATTTGCAAAAAATCTTTAATAGATTGTTAACA